TAGTTGTTTTGATTTGCATCTCTGTTAGAGCTAGAGATTTTGAACATTTCTTCATGTGTTTGTTTGCCATCTGAAAGTCTTAGTTGGTGAAGCATCTGTGTGGTGAGCTCTGGTGGCCTAGTGGCAAGCAGCTGCACTGCAATCCCAGAGGTGAGCAGTTTGAATCCACCAGATGCTCTGCTGGAGAAGGAAGAGCAATCTCCTACTGTACCAGTTAGATTCGATTTGACGGCACACACACAAAGAATAATAAAATTTTCCACAACATAAACAATGTTCCAAGCATCATGGAAAAACTACAACCAAGAGAGGATAAAATAGATGAATGGAACCTTCTAAGAATTAAGAATTAAATCCCTATGCGCATCCAAAAACTTCTCCAACAGGGTAAAAAGGGAAGCCACAGATTGGGAAAAACTATGTGGTAATGACATGTAAGAGAAGGGACTTACATATAGAATTTACGAATAACTCAAGCACCACAACAAGATAAAAGTAAATAACCCAATTGAAAAATGGGCACAATCTTTCTCTTTTTAAAGGTCATGTAGTATTCTGTAAACTTTAGTTATGAGTCCTTTATCTGAAATGTCATTGCTAAATGTTTATAGGCCTTCTTGTCACCCTAATAGAAAAAGGTTTTGATGCATACAGGGACTTACTTTTTGGAAGGTCCCATTTGCTGATTTTATTCTCTCCTGGTTGTGCATTTCTGGCTATATTTGCAAGCCTATTTACTCTGTAGGACAGGGCTTCTAAGTTTGGTCATATTCTCTCTTTGATCTTATGGTTTTGAACTTTGCCTCAAGTTCACTGACGACTTGAGTTGCTTTTTTTGTGTATGGTGTGAGACATATTTCAGAAAACTGTTTTCGTTTTCTGCTAGTAGATGTCTAGTTTTGCCGGCACCATTTTTTTAAGAGGTTGTCATTTCCCCATTAGGTAGGTTTTGATTCCTTCTCAAATACCAACTGACTATAGGTAGATAGGTTGATGTTTGTTTTCTTTATTCTATTGATCTATGTGCCTGTTGTTGTACCAGTACCATGTTTTAGTTACTATGGCTGTGTAACATGTTTTGATATCAGAGAGTGCTATGCCTCCCACTTCATTTTTATTTTTCAGAAAAGCTTTGCTTATTTAAGGTCTCATTCCTTTACAAATAAACCCACCAGTTAACTTTTTTATTTCTTTTTAAAGTAAGTTTGGTATCTGTATTGGGATTGTGTTGAACATGTAGATTGCTTTTGGTAGGATTGTCATTTTCAGTATGTTGAGGCCTCCTATCCATGAACAGAGGATATTTTTCCATTTCTTTAGATAGTGTTTCTTAGAGTAGT